GGAAAAAAAAAAAAAAGTTCAGGGGTAGTGCTCAGGTCCTGAGTTCAAGCCCCGGGACCGGCAGACATACACAATTTTTTTTTTTGGCCAGTCGTGGGGTCTGAACTCTGGGCCTGGGCACTATCCCTCAGCTCCTCAGCTCAAGGCTAGCATTCTACCACTTGAGCCACAGCGCCACTTCTGGCTTTTTCTGCTTATGTGGTGCTGAGGAATCGTACCCAGGGCCTCATGCATGCAAGGCAAGCACTCTACCACTGAGCTGCCTTCCCAGCCCACAAAAAATATTATAAGACAGTTTTTGTTTTTGTTTTTGTTCAGTTGTGGGGTTTGAACTTGGGGCCTGGGTATTGCCCTTGTGCTATTTTTGCTTAATGCTAGCACTCTACCACTTTGAGCCACAGCGTTTCTGATTTTCTGGTGGTACATTGGAGATAAGAATCCTTATGATGCTGGGTGCTGGTGGCTCACGCCTGTAATCTTGACTACTCAGGAGGCTGAGATCTGAGGATCACAGTTCAAAGCCAGCTGGGGCAGGAAAGTCCATGAAACTCTTTTCTCCAATAAACCACCAAAAATCAGAAATGGCTCTGTAGCTCAAGTGATAAAGCCCAGCCTTGAGCCTTAAGCTGAGGGACAGCGCTCAGGCCCAGAGTTCAAGCTCCATGACCGACAAAAAATAAAAAAAATTAAAAAAAGGATCCTTACGAACTTTTTCTGCCTAAGCTGGCTTTGAACCACGATCCTCAGATCTCAGCCACTGAGCCACCTTCCCAGCCCTGGGCCCCAGGATTTTTTTTGGGGGGGGGCAGTCGTGGGCCCTGAACTCTGGGCCTGGGCACTGTCCCTCAGCTCTTCAGCTCAAGGCTAGCACTCTACCACTTGAGCCACAGCACCACTTCTGGCTTTTTTCTTTTTGCTTATGTGGTACTGAGGAATCGAACCCAGGGCCTCAGGCATGCAAGGCAAGCGCTCTACCACTGAGCCACCTTCCCAGCCCCCCCAAGATTTTAAGATCCCTTCAAACAAGCCCAAACCTAAGATAGTAGAAGGACTAGTTTATTGTTGACTACAAGCTTCTTGAGTGTGGGATTGTAACTTATTTTAAGTATACTTCAAGCATCTAAATATTTTCCAGTAATTTTCTCTGATAATCTGTCTACTTGCTGTCCACTTCATATGGAATGACTACATAGCCACTGAGTGGATTCTGCAGAAATTAGTGATAAAAGAATGAAATCCATGATATGGTTATTCCAAAGGAATAAATAAGGTAGTAAACAGGAGTATCATACAAGATGACATTTTGAGCTGAAATCTAAAAGAAACAGCATTGCCAAGAGGAAAGGGGTCCCAGATACAGTCGACTTGACTAACAGGGACAATGATAGCAAGTCCTAACTTTGATTGTAAGTGGCTATCAGCAAACACCTACAATTCCTATTGCTACCTCATCTGCTTAAATCTGTTGTTTGTTTTTGGTCAGTAGTGGGGCTTGAATTCAGGGCCTGGGCACTGTCCCTGAACTCTTCTGCTCAGGGACAGCACTCTATCACTTTTAGCCACAACTCCACTTTTAGTTTTCTGGTTGTTAATTGAAGAGTCTCATGGACTCTCCTGCCCAGGCTGGCTTTGAACCGAGATCCTCAGATCTCAGCCTCCTTAGTAGCTAGGTGTGAGCCATGGGCACCCAGATTCCTCCCAGCTTTTATTCAAACCAGGAAAAGCTGTCTAAGCCACAGATCAAAGGGGAAAGATAGACATAGAAGGATAAATATCTAGTTAAATGTATTTATATTAGAAAGTACATAACTATATCCTCATCCTATTTAGATTGTGTGTGTGTGTGTGTGTGTGTGTTGTGTGTGTGTGTATGTATGTATTGATTAGGTTTGGGCTGGGCTTCCAGTGTTCAGGCCTGTAATCCTACCTACTCAGGAGACTGAAATCTGAAGTCCAAAAGAAGCCAGACCAGCCGGGCACTGGTGGCTTATACCTACTAAGGAGGCTGAAATCTGAGGATCACAGTTTAAAGCCAGCCCATGCAGGAAAGTTCCTGAGACTCTTATCTCCAATTAGCAAACAGAAAACCAGAAGTGGCACTGTGGCTCAAGTGGTAGAGTACTAGCCTTGAGATGCAGAGCTAAGGGACAGCACCCAGGCCCAGAGTTCAGGCCCCACAACAAACCATAAATAAATAACTAAATAGATAAAATGAAAAAGAAGCCAAACCATGCAGAAAAATCCCCCAAATTATCTCTGATTAACAAGCAAAAAGCTAAAGTGAAGGTGTGACTCAGGCTCAAATAGTAGAGTTCTGCCTTGGGCAGAAAAGCCCAGCAAAGCCGGGTGCCGGTGGCTCACGTCTATAATCCTAGCTACTCAGGAAGCTGAGATCTGAGGATAGCGGTTCAAAGCCAGCCTGGGCAGGAAAGACCCTGAGACTCCTATCTCCAATAAATCACTAGAAAACAGGAAGTGGCACTGTAGCTCAAGTGGTAGAGTGTTCGCCTTGAGCAGAAGAGCTGAGGGACAGCGCCCAGGCCCAGAGTTCAAGCCCCATGACCGACAAAAAAAAAAAAAGAAAAGCCCAGAAAATGCTGTAGGCCCTGAGTTCAAGCTCCAGTATTGGCACAAAAAAAAAAAAGTTTGTGTTCTAACATCATAAGATTTCATAATTTTGAATCTTAGTGCCACCAACCCAGCCTCACTTGTCAACCCTACTTCTCTCTCATGCCTGATAACACAGGAAAATTAAGTCCTCCTACTTTTTATTGTACTTATTTGTTGGAAAAAGCTTTTTCAATTTGATTTAATTGATATGTATTAATTGTGTCTGAGGTTTTCATTTTTCCTGTCTTTTTCTCTTTGGAGTTATGTACCTCTAGGCATATTGGTGAAGGAACCTTGGGTTAATAAGTGTAGATGACCCAGGACTGGGAAGGTGGCTTAGTGGTAAAGTGCTGGAATGTGCCCGGGGCCTTGAGTTCAAGTCCCAGGACTGGCAAAAAAAAAAAAAAAATCAAGAGGACACCAGCATGAAAAAAATGGGACGGGGCTGGCACACAGGGGGGGGGGGGAGTGGGAATGTGGCTTAGTGGTAGAATGCTTAGTGGTAAAATGCTTGCTTAAGCATGCATGAAGCCCTGGGTTTGGTTCCTCAGTACCACATAAACAGAAAAGTGGCATTGTGGCTTAAGTGGTAGAGTTGCTAGCCTAGCCTCAACAAAACCTTGGGATGGGGGATGAGAGTGTGACTTAGTGGTAGAGTGCTTGCCTAGCATGCATGAAGCCCTGGGTTAGATTCCTCAGTACTACATAAACAGAAAAAGCTGAAATGGTGCTGTGGCTGAGTCAAGCCCCAGGACCCTGAGTCAAGCCCCAGCACTGGAAAAAAAAAAAAAAAACCATTACAGGCATTAAGGTTAATTGCTTAAAGCCTTGGTTGTGGCCCTTGGGACAGTTCCATAAACTGGTAATTATGTGAGGTTCATTGAGCACTTACTATGTGCCACAGATTACTATTAAAACATGAAATCAGAAGTGGCTCAAATGGTAGAGTACCAGCTACAAGTGGAAAAAGCTAAGCAAAGTATGAAGCCCTGAGTTCAAGCCCTAGTACTAGCACTAATAAAAAGAAGCTTTAAAAAAAGCATCAGATTATTTCACAAGCCTATGAAGTGGTTTTGTTTTACACTTAGTCTGGCTTCACATATCAAAACAAACAAACTGAATTCAATGCTGCAATTTAAATCTACATCTGACTTGTCAGTGGTTGCTTTATATCTTGTGGTGCTGGGAATAAACTCAAGGCTTAGTATAAGCCAGACAAGAACCACTGAGCTATACCCTCAACTCAAGATCCTAGTGTTCTTTTTTGCTTTCCTTTCTTCTTCTTTCTCTTCTTCTTTTTTTTTTTTTTTGGTTAGTCATGGGGCTTGAACTCCGAGTCTGGGCACTGTCCCTAAGCTTTCTTTTTGTTCAAGGCTAGCACTCTACCACTTGAGCCATAGTGCCACTTCTCTTGTCTTCTCTCCATCCTCCCTATTTTTTTCTTTTGCTTTCCTCCTGAGGACCACCTTCTTGTCCATCAGGATACCTTCTCCCAAGAGAAGTTCCCAACCAAGAAACTTTCTCACACCCAACAGACTTCCCTACATACCCTGAGGTTCCTAAATGTACCTAGAGCCCCCACTCCCTTTGAGTTTTGCATAATCTGGCAGAATGACTCCCATTCTTGAAAATAACTGCTTAAATCAGAAGGAAACTCTCCTTTCCTAAGCCCTCTTTCAATCTTGAGGATATCTCCACCCATACAAAGGTTTCAGAGCAGGACCAGCTCTTGTACCCTGGACCAGAGAGAGGGTCCAGGGTACAATAAACACGCAAGGGGGTGAGGGGTGGGCGGGCGGCTTTCTGAAAAACGAATCCCAGCACATGAGGGTCTTGAGTTCAAGACCCACCTCAGCTACAGAGCGAGCTCCAGGGTTGCCTGGAATACACAACAAATTCTGTCAATAAAATAAGATAAAGACAGCAGAACATTAAGCCAAGCCTGAGACTCTTCCGGTGACGAATGCAGCTGGCCCTGCTTCACACCTCTGTAAAGGGAGCGGTCACCAGTCGGGTTGGTAAATCTTCCTTTCCCGGTGTGGGCGAGAGGTGTTCGGGGAGGACCGGCTCATCCTGAGTCTGTGGTTCGGAGCACACCCCGGGAAAAGCCTCAGTAGATTTGGAATCAGTTTCCTTGCCTTGGGCGGAAAGCTCGTTTCGCAGCCGCAGCAGACAGCAGGGTGGGCCTCACGACCCAGTCCAGGCTCCACCTTCTGGGTGTGGGCCTAGACGCGTGCGGCCCATTGCCGGGGCAACAGACGCCGTGAGCGGTGCATTATGGTCCGCAACAAAATGCAGGAGAAAGATCCTGAGGGAACCATTGAATCCATAGGCCAATAGAATGATCCCGGGGGCTGCGCTAAGCCAATAGAGACGGGCGGAGGGGGCGTGGCGCACGGGGCAGGGCGGGGCTTAGGCACTAGGCGGCGGCGGCTGGCGTGGGGCTGCTTAGATGCGCCACGGCTTCGGTAGCGGCCGTATCTCTCCCTCACCTTGAGGCACGCCAGCTCCCTCCGGAGACCGTTGAAGTCGGGCGGCCCCTGCCCACCCGGTGAGGGCCTCGGGGGTGGGGTGGGAGTTGGGGCGGGGGGGGTCTACGCTGGTCGGGCCTGGCTCCCTCCCCCGCCTTCGTCCAGTTGTGCGGTCCGCGGGGTTTCGCACTATCTCTGAAGTGGGGGGGGGGCGGCGTCCGGAGATGGCGCGGGTCCGGGGAGGGGGTGGTGGGGAGGCGGCGCCGGGCCGGACCCCTCTCCTCACGCCTCGGCCCCGGGCCTCGCCTCCCCCCCCCACCTCAGGTAACCATGTGCGACCGAAAGGCGGTGATCAAAAATGCGGACATGTCGGAAGAGATGCAACAGGACTCGGTGGAGTGCGCTACCCAGGCGCTGGAGAAATACAACATAGAGAAGGACATTGCGGCCCACATCAAGAAGGTGAGGCGCGGGCGGGGGGCGGCGTCAAGTTCTCTCCCCTCCCATCCCGACCCTGCGGCCCCGGCCCCCCCCCCAGTCCAGATTCTTGAGGTAGGGCGAGGGGGGCGGTTGTGCGCCATAGAGGTTTTCTAGAAAGGTCGCGCAGTGAGTTGTGCGCTTCTCTCGGGAAGCGCTGACCCCTTCTGCGCTCGAAGTTTTTTTTTTTTTTTTTTAAACCGAGCTCTATGGGGGAAAGCGCCACCTAGCAACGGTTTCCAAGATGGGAGCAACGAGCGGTTCCCCCCTTGTGTAGGTTCCTGCGCCGAGGATCCATCTGCGTGTTCCGGGGTGGGGGGGGGCGGGGAGCGGCGTGGGCGTCTCCCGCGGGGCCCGGGAGACCTCGCCAGCCTTCCCCGCGGGCCGCGGGGCGGAGGGGTCGGGGATCTGGTAAGTGACAGTTTGTAGAGACCTGGCAGGATTGCCAACTTGAGCTCTGCTCGCTGGAAAGAGCAGCAAACTGGCGGCCTAAGCTGGGGGGTGGCCCCGGTGAGGACGGGAGGACCAACGACGGAGAATGACATGGAAACAAAAAAGGTTGGGGGCGGGGAAGGTGTCAGTCGTGGGGCTTGAACTCTAGCCTGGACGCTGCCCCTTCCTGCTCATTCAAGGCTGGTTGCTCTACCTCTTGAGCCACAGCTCCAAGTCAGTTTGAGATGACGGACTTGTACCTGCCCGAGCTGGCTTCGAACCGCAATTCTCAGACTTCAGCCTCCCGAGTAGCCAAGATTACAGGCTTATGCCACCGGCACCCGGGTTTGTTTTTTTGACACAGTTCATGCATCCCGCTTGAAAGAAAAATGGTCCTTTTAAAAAGAGCTTTTAACAAATTATCTTTGATTCTTCCCTACACATTCACCTGGTAAAGTTCAAGCAAGTTTTCTAATCCCAGTCAGTACCCCTCAGTGGGAAAAATAGAAAAGTTGTTCCTGTAATCTGCTAACTTTCAACACCAAGCACCATTAGCATGGATACGGAAAGGACTACTATTTAAAAAGGATAATGTTTGGCCAGGTAGCTGTCAGTCTGCTTCCAGCATTATTTTTACAGGAGTACTGGTGTTGCTTAAAGGTCTTGTCTGTCCCCTTAAATCTAAATATTGATGGGTTGTTGCTGGTTTAAATACTAATTAAGGCTTTTTTTTTTTTTGGATCAGTTGTGGGGCTTGAACTCTGGGCCTGGGCACCATCCCTCAGCTCTTCAGCTCAAGGCTAGAGCTCGACCACTTGAGCCACAATGCCACTTCTGGCTTTTTCTGCTTATGTGGTGCTGAGGAACCAAACCCAGGGCCTCATGCATGCAAGGCAAGCACTCTACCACTGAACCACCTTCCCAGCCCTAATTAAGGCTTTGTTCTTAGGAAGTCTTATTCTCAGTAGTGCAATAGGGCAGTTGAGATCTTCATGGTAAGGAATGGGCCAAGTTTTTGCCATTTTCTTCAATTTTGGGGTGCATGGCAAATAAGGGAGGATTGTTTAGCTCTCTTTATCCAGAACAAGATAAACCATAACTGTTTGTCACCTGCTGTCAGAGAATATTACTGAATAAGGTAGGAAGGTGTAATTATCATGATCACAAAGTGCCCTGTCTTTGAGGCTGTCCTTTATACCTCTTATCTCCTCAGTCTCCATTTCTGTCTTAGCTCAAACTGCAAGTATGTTTGCCTCAATGGACTATGTAGGCGATTTGGAGCTGGGGAACAATCTTTCATTGTAAGCAATTGCAGATGCCAGTATTTTTCCTTTTTCCCATGCAGGCTGTGGCTTCCTGAAGTTAACTCTTTTAGTTAATTCTTCTACAATTTTTTTTTTCTTCTCCAGGAGTTTGACAAGAAGTACAACCCCACCTGGCACTGCATCGTGGGGAGAAACTTCGGTAGTTATGTGACACATGAAACCAAACACTTCATCTACTTCTATCTGGGTCAGGTGGCCATCCTTCTGTTCAAATCTGGTTAAAAGCATGGACTGTGCCACACACCCAGTGATCCATCCAAAAACAAGGACTGCAGCCTAAATTCCAAATATCAGAGACTGAAATCTTCAGCCTTGCTAAGGAAACACCTCAATCTTGGAACCTTTATTGTGTTTTGTACAGGGCATTCTCTGTACTAGTTTGTTGTGATTATAAAACAATTAGTAAAACAGCTTACGTTTGTATTTATTTTCTATTCCATACTTCTGTGCCCCTTGGTTTTTTTTTTTTTCTTAATTCATTCCTTTAAAAAATAAAAATCTGTTGGACATGTATCTGTGTGAACTTCATTTCCTTCAAATAACCAGCCGAATCAAGCTCTGTCAATTGATGGGTGACTTAAGTTGTTGGGGTGAGTCCTCCAAGTTGTTTTGTGTGTCTGTGTATCTATGTCTGTGTTGGTTATGGGGTTTGAACTCTGGACGCTGTCCCTGAGCTCTTCAGCTGAAGGTGAGTTCTACCACTTGAGCCACAGCACCACTTTGGTTTTCTGGTGGTTAATTGGAGAGAATAGTCTCAAAAAGGACCTTCCTGCCCGTTGAACTGCAATCTTCAGATCTCTACCTCATGAGTAGATAGGATTACAGGCTGGAGCCACCAGCACCTGGCTTCCAAGTTGTTTTTGTGTGACCATTTCAGTGATCTTTTTTTTTTTTTTTTGTCGGTCATGGGGCTTGAACTCTGGGCCTGGACGCTGTCCTTCAGCTCAAGGCGAGCATTCTACCACTTGAGCCACAGCGCCACTTCCGGTTTTCTGGTGGTTTATTGGAGATAGGAGTCTCACGGTCTCTCCTGCCCAGGCTGGCTTTGAACCGCGATCCTCAGATCTCAGCCTCCTGAGTAGCTAGGATTACAGGCGTGAGCCACCAGCGCCCGGCTTTCAGTGATCTTTTTAAGACATGGTCTTTCTGTGTAGTTCAGGTTATCCGGTAACGATCCTGCCATAGCCTTCCAAATGAAGATTACATGCTTCTGCCACCATCCAGCTCATAAGGCTAATTCAGTCATGGGAATTGCTCATACCAAGCATTTCAATGAACCACATTCCTACCCCAATTTGGTCTTTTATCTTCAATTCCACTCATCCTGTTCAAAATCAGAAGTTTGCAAAACTTCAGTGGAAGAAATTGTTTGTGGTGGTGTAAGCCTGTCATCCCAGCTATGATAGTCTAAAATCATCCCAGCATGCACCTAGGCAGGACACAAGCCCTACCTCAAAAATAACCATGAGGGCTGGAAAGATGGCTCAGTGGTAGAGTGCTTGCCTTGCAAGCATGAGACCCTGGGTTCAATTCTCAGCACCACATAAGCAGAAAAAGCCAGAAGTGGCGCTGTGGCTTAAGTGGTAGAGCGCTAGCCTTGAGCTGAAAAGCTGAGGGACAGTGCCCAGGCCTAGAGACCAGGCCCCATGACTGGGGGAGGGGGGTTGTGGGGGACATGAAAAGGGCTGGAGGTGTGAATCAATGAATAGAATACCTGCTTAATAAGTGCAAGACCCTGGGTGGAATCCATACCCTATACTGCCCCTTATCCCCCCCCCCAAAACCCAGGCTCACTCAACTAATCCTCAAGATTTTAGCCTCCTGAGTAATGAGTAATGATTACAGGTGTGAGCCACAAGTTCCCAGTTATGCTTTTAACTAGTAGGAAAGTTAACAAATGTGAATTGAAGTTGCTTTAAATTGCCCATTAGGGGTTGGGGATTTAGGTCAGTGGAAGAGCATTTGCCTGACAAATGCAAGGTCTTGAGTTAAGTCCTCAGCTGGGGTGGGGAGCAGGGAGGAAAGCTATAAAAGACAGAAGAAAAAGGCAACTAAATTGCCATCAAAGGGTTCAGGCTATCAGTTGTAGAGAAGTCTTAGGAAGGAAATACACGAGAGTCAGCTTTTGTAGGTAGAAAGGAAATGTGTGCCAGAGGCTAAAACAGCACATTCTCATCTGGGAAGTTGCAAAAGTTGGGACTTCTGGGTCCCCTATTTTTTGTTGTTGTTGTTGTTGGTTCTGCTGCCACTGGTTTCTACAATCTCTTAATAAAGCTCTTTTTTTTTGGTAGGTCATGGACTTGAACTGGTCTTGGGTGCAGTCCCTGCGCTCTTCAGCTCAAGGCGAGCACTCTACCACTTGAGCTACTGAGCCACTTCCAGCTTTTTCTGAGTAATTTATTGAAGATAGAGTCTCATGGGCTGGGTACTGGTGGCTCACGCCTGTAATCCTAGCTAAGAGGCTGAGATCTGAGGATTGTGGTTCAAATCCAGTCCAGGCAGGAAAGTCCATGAAACTCTTATCTCCAATAAACCACCAGAAGTGGCGCTGTAGCTCAAGTAGTAGAGTGCTCGCCTTGAGCTGAAGAGCGCAGGGACAGCGCCCAAGCCCAGAGTTCAAGCCCCATGACCGACCAAAAAAAAAAAAATTCTCATGGGGCTAGGAACATGGCTTAGTGGTAGAGTGCTTGCCTAGCATGCATGAAGCCCTGGGTTCAATTCCTCAGTACCACATAAACAGAAAAGGTTGGAAGTTGCACAATGGCTCAAGTAGAGTGTTAGCCTTGAGCAAAATAAGCTCAGGGACAGTGCCCAGGCCTCAAGTTCAAGTCCCAACAAAACAGTTTCACAGCTGGGCATTGGTAGCTCATGCCTGTAATCCTAGCTACTCAAGAGGCTGAGTTCTGAGGATCACAGTTCAAAGCCAGCCCAGCCAGAAAAGTCCTCGTGAGGCTCTAATCTCCAATTAACCACTAAAAAGCCAGAAGTGGCATTGTGGCTCCAGTGCTAGAGCGCTAGCCTCAAGCACAAAGAGGCTTAGGAACAGCATCTAGGCCCTAAGTTCAAGCCAAAATAAAAAAGGGTCTCAAAGTGGTAGAGCATCAGCTTTGATTGAAAAAGCACAGGTTCAGAATTTAGGCCTGAGTTCAAGTCCTATTACTGACAAAAAGCAAAAAACCACTGTGGATGGCTTCTTAGCATCAAATTGGACTGCAATTAGGAAGGCAGCACTACCCAAATCCATACCTGAAGATTGGAGGGGCATAGGGTACATACAAAAATAGTTTTCAAACATTTTGAAGTGCTATAAAACCCTTTTATCAAATGTGCTCTGACAAAGAAGCTTCCTATATGGTACATGAAATCAGGAGCTGTCATATTTATTCTAGTGACAAGGCTTTAATCTGGAGTGTTTTTCTTTATAACAGACATAAAGGACACAATAGGGTCTTTTGGTAAAAGTTTGGAAGAATGATGAAAACATTTATTTCACCCATGTCAAGAAAAAAAAAAGACACATATTACCCTAAATGTAGATTCATTTACTCAGTCAGTATACAATTTTTTAAAATTTTTTTTTCCCTTTTGCCACTCCTGGGCTTCAACTCAGGGCCTGAGCACTGTCCCTAAGCTTCTTAAGGCTAGCATTCTATCACTTCAGTCACAGGGCCATTTCCAACTTTTTCTGTTTATATGGTACTGAGGAAAGAAACCCAGGGCTTCGTGCATGCTAAGCAAGTACTCTACACTAAGCCACATTCCCAGCCCAGTGTGTAATTCTTTTGTTGTTGGTGGTGGGGTTTTTTATTTCATTTGTTTCTTGGTCGGTCATGGGGTCTGAATTCTGGGCCTGGGTGGTGTCCCTCAACTCTTCAGCTCAAGGCTAGCACTCTATCACTAGAGCCACAGTGCCATTTCCGGCTTTTTTTTTCTGCTTATGTGGTGCTGAGGAATCAAACCCAGGGCCTCATGCATGCGAGGCAAGCACTTTACCACTGAGCCACCTTCCCAACCCTGTTTTTTTCCTTCCTTTCTTTCTTTCTTTTTTTTTTGTTCTTTTTGGTCATGGGGCTTGAACTCTGGGCCTAGGCGCCGTCCCTCAGTTCTTCAGCTCAAGGCTAGCACTCTACCACATGAGCCACAGAGCCACTTCCAGTTTTCTGAGTGGTTTATTGAAAGTAATAGTCTCACAAACTTTCCTGCCCAGGCTGGCTTTGAACTGTGATCCTCAGATCTTAGCCTCCTGAGTAGCTAGGATTACAGGCATGAACCACAAGTGCCCAGCTGGTGCTAAGTTTTGAACCTAGCACCTTGGGGGTACTAGGCATGTGCTCTACCATCAAACTATATACACCAGTCTATAATTCTAGTATTTACTGTTAGCACTGACTTGTACCTTAGCTTTTGGCCCTATACTCAGTGCTAGGCTCAGTGATTGGTTCAGGTTTTCTGTTTCAAATCATCATTGTTTTCCAATGATCCATTATTTCTCTGGAAGTCCACACTGTTAAAAAAGTTACAAATAGGGGCTGAGAAGGTGGCTCAGTGGTAGAGTGCTTGCCTTGCATGCATGAGGCCTTGGGTTCGATTCCTCAGCACCACATAAGCAAAAGAAGCCAGAAGCAGTGCTGTGGGCCAAGAGGTAGAGTGCTAGCCTTGAGCTGAAGAGCTGAGGGACAGTGCTCAGGCCCAGAGGTCAGGCCCCATGACCAACAAAACAAACAAAAAAGAAAGAAAGAAAGAAAGAAAAATTACAAATAATACTTCCAAATGGTGTTTTAGTGCTGGTTTTACCTAAACACTACACTGCACAGCCAAGAAAGTTAACAGGAGAAAACAAAAAAGACCAAATACTTGTGAGAAAAGGCCTGAGCAGAGTCTAACAAAATTGCAAAAATGAAAAAAAAAATTACAGGAGCCAGGCACAGGTGGCTCACACCAGTAATGCTTACTACTCAGGAGGTTGAGATCTGAGTATTTTTTTGGGGGAGGGGGTCCAGTCGTGGGCCTGAACTCTGGCCTGGGCTCTGGCTCTTCAGCTCAAGGCCAGCGCTCTACCACTTGAGCCACAGTGCCACTTCCAACTTTTTTTTTTCTGCTTATATGGTGCTGAGGAATCGAACCCATGGCCTCATGCATGCAAGGCAAGCGCTGGACCACTGAGCCACCTTCCCAGCCCGTGAGGATTGCAGTTTAAAGCCAGTCCTGGCAGTAAAGTCTGAGACTTTTTTTTTTTTTTCTTAATTTCCAATTAACCACTAGAAAACCAGAAGTGGAATTGTGGCTCAAAGTGGTAGAGTGTTGGTCTTGAGCAAAAAGATCTCAGAGATGGTGTCTAGTCCCTGACTTCAAAACCCACAATGAACCAAAAAAAAAAAAAAAGACAGGAATTTGTTTCTTCTACTTGGAGATTGGTCAGTTCAGAACAGGAATTCATATCCTTATGAGGAGATGCTCAGAGGCTGTCTCATCAGCCAGATTATTCTTCAGGGTGCAGCTTTCAGCAGGGTATGACTGCTTCACACTCCAGAAAGGAAAAGAATTAAAGTTTGAAGCCAGAATGAATGGCCACAATGCCTGAAGTTAGACTTTCATAAGTCACCTTCTGAAAACCTGCATCTTCAATCATCTCTTTAAACTCTTCCTAAAACACAAGGAAAGACAGAGCAAGGATTGCTTGGATTTCAGCTTTAGGACTTTGTTACACACTATAGATGTTTTTGGTACCTGCGATGGAAACTTCCGGATGCTTTCCACAAGGTACTGATAGGACTTCCAGTCTCCTGCAATCACTTCTCCGAGGACAGGAATGACCTGGAAGCTGTAGAGATCATAAAGCCTACATAAACAAACAAAAAAAGGCAAAAGATTAAGATTAGAACATGTCCTGGCACTTCAAACAAAAAGGGAAAAAAATAAGCTGGGCACTGGTGGCTCACGCCTCAAATCCTAGTTACTCAGGAGGCTGAGATCTGAGGATTGGGGTTCAAAACCTGCCCAGGCAGGAAAGTTTGTGAGACTATCTCTAGTAAACCACCAGAAAACCAGAAGTGGCGCTGTGGCTCAAGCGGTAGAGGGCTAGCCTTGATCTGAAGAGCTGAGGAACAGTATCCAGGCCCAGAGTTCAAGACCCATGGCCAAAAAAAAAAAAAGGAATATAAAGATAAAGCTGTGTTATTGGTGCTGACCTGGATACCAGGGGATTGTTCACTTGGCTAAACTCCAGACAGAGAAACCGCCCTCCTGGCTTCAAGACTCGATGGGCTTCCTGGAGTGCCTGTGAGAGACAAGGACAACGGGATGCAGTCCTCAGCAGACCTCACCCAGTGCTACAAGGCAAGACAGATTGAATTTCTGTGTGCATTCTAACTGTTATTTCCCACAGCCCTCTTGTGTATTCTAGTTGGGAAGCTGAAACCGCAGAAATAACCCTACATATTATATTGTAGTCTGCTGCTTATGACTTGATAAGTCAAATGCATACAGACTGATGCAACTTTGTGATAGGCAAGTTTAGAATTGTGAATTAAGATCACAGTGAAGCCAGGCACTGGTGATTCATGCCTATAATCCTAGGTACTCAGGAAGCTGAGATCTGAGGATCACGATTCAAAGCCAGCCAGGGTATCTCCAACCCCATGAGACTCTTATCTCCAATTAAGCACATAAAAACTGGAAGTGGTACTATGGTTCAAGTGGTAGAGTACTAGCTTTGAGCACAAAGAGGCTCAGAGACAATTCTCAGGCCCTGAGTTCAAGCCTTGCAACCGATAAAAAAAAAAAAAAGCAAAACAGTGGACCTCCTCTCTATATAACATGCTTTTTGTGATACTGAGGTTTGAACTCAGGGCCTCATGTTTATCAGGCCCTGACAAGCTGAGTTGTGCTTCTATTCCTGTGATTTCAGTTCATTCATTTCTGACTAGGAAAACTAATAATTTAAAGAAAGAAGTTCCAACTCAAAGCAGCCACTCTACTGAAGTGCTGAACCCAGAACATCACATGAGCTGAATATGTAGCCATTCCTACCCGATCTATGTGTGTGACATTCCGGATCCCAAAGGCAATGGTGTAAATGTCAAATTTGTCATCATCAAAGGGCAACTCTTCAGCATCTCCTAGGATCCATGCAAGTCCTGGAAGACAAAATGATTTCTGCATCTGAATGTGGAAAGCTGTCTCCCTTGCACCCTGTGATTTATCACATGTGAGGAATTTACATTTTGTATTGCATTTGGATGTGTGTTTGTATTGAGTCAGAAGGGTGAGTAACCCAGTGTGAGTAGCTACACTCGGAGTGTGGCTAGAGCCTAAATAGCAGCACTCTTCTGGGACTGGATCCTCAAACCTGTGGAATATGAAGCAAAGTCTGGATAGCACCAAGTAAATTGTCAGGTATCTACTTGGAGTGGAAGAACTGCAAACCTGCCTTCACCATTGAATTCCTGGCTACTTTCCTCCAATGCTAAGATCTTAGAAGCTGAAATCTTTGCTGCCATGGAGCTACATATCCTCAAGTAGCACCAGGTTAAGCTTCCTGGGTTTAAATACCACCTTCATCCCTTATTAGCTGTGTATCTTTTTTTTTTTGTGAGGGGGTGATTGGCAAGGAATGGAACCAAAATCTATCTCAGGCATACGACATAATCACTCTGCTATTTGAGTCTTGCCACCCAACTAAATCAATCTCTCTCCTTCTCTTGTTTTCTGTATCTCTCAGTCCTGTTAAAGAGTATAGAGGAAGGGGGTGGCTGGGAAGGTGGCTTAGTGGCAGAGTGCTTGCTTAGCATGAATGAAGCCCTGGGTTCAATTCTTCAGTACCACATACACAGAAAAAGCCAGAAATGAGCTGTGGCTCAAGCGGTAGAGTGCTAGCTTTGAGCAAAAGAAACTCAGGAACAGTGTCCAGGCCCTGTGTTCAAGCCCCAGGAATGGCAGAAAAAAAAAAACTATATACAGAACTAGTATATAGATTGTAGAGTGCCTGTCTAACAAGTAAGTTTGAGTTCAAACTCCAGTACTTAAATAAGTAAATAAATAAGAGTGTCAATGGCTCACACCTGTAATCTTTTTCTTTTTTTTTTTGCCAGTTCAGAATGGAATGCTACTGATCATCTTGGTATCTTTCTGCTCCATTCTTTATGGCAGAGCATGTTGGTCAGTAGGAGTAAGAAAGCATGGTGCCTTTGTTTAAAAATGCTAGTGGCTGTCTGCCTTCTGCTTAGTGTTGATGGTTAACAAAGGAGCCCTTCATCTTGGGACCAAGTGGGCTGCAAATGTCTAGGCAGCTGCTCCTGGGGGCAGGAAGAGGAGGAAGGATTGGACTAAAACAACCACAACTACTGTGGTGATGTTGAGGGTGGGGTGGGGGAAGGTTGATGTGGACCCTGGGGACTCTCTTTGTGGTAATCCTCTGCTCTCTCTATAGCTTCCTGCAGTACCTGGCCTGCTGAAAGAGGGGGCAGAGCAGCAGCCCTGAAAAGCTGGGTCAACAGGGCACAGCATCCAGGATCATTAATAAACTTGAAAAAATAGGGGGCAGCCAAAGGTAATATTTCCATTTCCATGCTAGAGCAGAAATCATCCATTTTGAGCATGCAGTGGGCTCCCAGAAGTAGGCAGGCAGTTCCTCACTCTCCTGCTGCTGGTACCTGACAAAATAGGGAAATCTGAGTAGAGAACAGGTACTATGGCTGGGAGCTGGTGGCTCATGCCTGTAATCTTAGCTACTCAGGAGGCTGAGATCTGAGGATCACGGATCTGGGTTCCAGCCCAGGCAGGAAAATCCAGGAGATTAACCACCAGAAAACCAGAAATGGTGCTGTGGCTCAAAGTGGTAGAGTGGTAGCCTTATACAAAAAAGCTCAGGGACAGTGCTCAGGCCTGGTGTTCAAGCCCCACAATAGACAAAAAACAAAAACAAAAACACATGCACTGTGTCAGTTGGGTTCTCTGACATACTGATGAGGAGGAAATGTAAAAGTTTTGTTTTGGATTTTGTGATTTTGTGCAAGGGCAATAGTTGATTAGGAGAAAGCCTGGCTGTTAGGAGTCCTGCTTATGTTGAGTGTCATGATTCATGCCCGCAATCCCAGCATTCCAGAGGATAAGGGAGGGGGATGGCAGGCTCAAGGCCAACATGGACTACATAGTCACACAGGACTCTTAACCAAAACAAAACAAAGTGAAAAAAAAAAAAAAAATGGTGCTCAGTGCTGTATATGGGAGCTGCCAAGAATGAGCTTGGCTTCGCAAGAAATCTGGAGCAGAGGCCAAAGAGCTAACAGAGGCTATTAGCTAAGTACATTGCTGTAGCTGAAGTTCTGTTCTTACAAGAGATGTGAGCAGCACAGTTGTGTTCTAAATAAATTAAACCTGCCTTGTACTGGTAGGGGAATAGGTCATCCTAGAGCTGTTGGAAACTAAAACTTCTTTTCTTTTTGACCGAGTCTTAACTGACCTTGGACTCAAAATCCCTCCTGCCTCTGCCTCCCAAGTACTGAGATTACACCCAGCAAATTCCTTTTTTTTTTTTTTCGGTCGTGGGGCTTGAACTCTGGGCCTGGGCGCTGTCCCTCAGCTCTTCAGCTCAAGGCGAGCGCTCTACCACTTGAGCTACAGCGCCACTTCCGGTTTTCTGGTGGTTTATTGGAGATAGGAGTCTCATGGTCTCTCCTGCCCGGGCTGGCTTTGAACCATGATCCTCAGATCTCAGCCTCCTGAGTAGCTAGGATTATAGGCATGAGCCACCAGCTCCCGGCTTCACCCAGCAAATTTCTATTTCAAGGTATAAGATTTGAGATCCAAACGCTGCCTCTAGCTTAGGATCTGCTACCAAATAGTGGTGTGACTTAAGTAAGATCCTGTTTGGGCTTTGGTTATCTCCTCTGTCACATGGGGCTGTTCATCCAGTCCAACACAGGTTGGTGAGCCCTAAAAAACAATGCCAGTATCATTTGTGCTCAGTCACCCAAATGATCTTCAACTCTCTCCTAACTAAGTTTCTGAAATTTGGAGCATAAGGATTTCAACATTTGATGTGACCTCCTCCAGCTTATTTTATAAACATACAAGTATTTCCCTGGTGTCTGCTTTCCTAGGACTCACCAGTTTTGTAGCCCTGGTCTAAGGCTTTCCTCTTTCCAACCTTCAGCATCTCTCTGTTGATGTCACAAACCATGACGTGGGAACCACCCAAAGAATCCTCTTCATTTTGGTACTTTTTGGCAATTTCTTCCCAGGATAAATTTTGCTGGGCCCTTAATTGCCTCTTCTGCTTTCTCTGATGTTGTGTCTGAACATAATTAAGGAACCGGAATGCAATGTCACCTGTGGGAAGCCAAACAGGAAGAAAGATACAAACCAAAAGCAAAAATCCAGGCTGGGAATGTGGCTTACTAGGGTGCCTGCCTAGCATTCCCTGGGTTCAATTTTCAGTACCACATAAACAAAATAAAATAATATTTATTACTGTTGTTGTTATTATTATTATTGCCGGTTGTGGAGCCTGAACTCTGGGCCTGGGTGCTGTCCCTCAGCTTAAGGCTAGTGATCTACCACATGAGCCACAGCACCACGTCCAGTTTTCTAGTGGTTTATTGGAAATTAAGAGTCACAGAATTTCTTGCCTGGGCTGGCTTTGAACTGTGATCCTTCAGATCTCAGCCTCCTGAGTAGCTAGGATTACAGACAGGAGCCACTGGTGCCCAGCCACCTCAGCCTTCCTTTTGCTGAGATGATAGGTATAACCACCACACCTGGCTTAAAACAGTTTTTTGGTTGGTCCTGGGGCTTGAACTCATGGCCTGCACACTATCCCTAAGCTTCTTTTATTCAAGGCTAGCACTCTACCTAAAGCCACAGTGCCACTTTTGGCTTTTTCTGCTTATGTGATACTGAGGAGTGGAATCTAGGGCTTCAGGCATACTAGGCAAGCACTCTACACTAAGCCACATTCCCAGCCCATGTCCCTGAGCTTTTGTGCTCCAGGTTAGTACACTACTGCTTTGAGCCACAGCTCTACTTCCTAAAAGTTGTTTGTTTGTTTGTTTTATGAAAGTACGTAAGTGCTGGGTGCCAGTGGCTAACATCTGTAATCTTAGCTACTCAGCTACTGAGATCTAGAGGATTACAGTGTGCAAGGGCACAAAAATCCTTGAGGATTCATCTCCAAAAATAAGCAACAAAAACAGGACTGGAAGGTGCAAGTCAACTGAAAGGGCTAGGCTCTGAGTCCAAACTTCATTTATTTATTTATATTTATTTATTTATTTTGGGGGGTCCAGTCATGGGGCCTGAACTCTGGGCCTGGGTGCTGTTCCTTAGCTCTTCAGCTCAAGGTTAGCACTCTACCACTTGAGCCACAGCGCCACTTCCGGCTTTTTTCTTTTTGCTTATGTGGTGCTGAGGAATCGAACCCAGGGCCTCAGGCTTGTAAAGCAAGCGCTCTACCACTGAGCCACCTTCCCAGCCCCTGAGTCCAAACTTCAGTACCACAAAATTGTTATATAACACGTATATTATACACAGCCCTAAGCTACCATTTCTAGTGGTGGAAATGGTACTATGATTCACCCCAGTACCAACAGAAAAAGGCATAGGGGATGAAGCTCCAGTGGGAGAGTGCTTGCCTAGCAAAAGTGAAAAACATAAAGAGGTCATTTAAATGACAAAAGATCACTGGAGTAAAAAGTTGGTTCTGGGTTTTTGTTTGTTGTTGTCGTTGATTTTTTTGTTAGTATTGGGGTTTGAACTCAGTGTATATGCTTCCTACATAAGCACTCTATCCACTGTATTACAAAGACCAGTAAATATATTTTTTTTTGTCCGTTGTGGGGCTTGAACTCTGGGCCTGGGCGCTGTCCCTCAGCTCTTCAGCTCAAGGCTAGCACTCTACCACTTGAGCTACAGTGCCACTTCCGGTTTTCTGGTGGTTTATTGGAGATAGGAGTCTCATGGTCTCTCCTGCCCGGGCTGGCTTTGAACCAAGATCCTCAGATCTCAGCCTCCTGAGTAGCTAGGATTATAGGCGTGATCCACCAGCACCCGGCTGGTCTTTGTAAATATTAGAGAAGTAAAAAGCATAAAATTGATTTGTTGTTATTGTTTTATTTTATTTTTGTGTCCCAAGGCCCTTGGAATACTAGGCTCTGCCTCTTGAGCCACACCCCAAATCCACAAAGTTACTTACTTTATTGTGCCAGAGCCAGGACTTGACCTCAAGGCCTTGGCTTTTTCCACTCAAGGCTGTCCCTCTACCACAAGACATACCTCCACTCTGGCTGTTTGGTAGTCAATTGTAGTGAAAATTCTCATGGACTTTTCTGCCCAAGCTGGCATCAATCCTGGGTCTCAGACTCTTGAGTAGCTAGGAATACAGGAATCACCAAAGGCACCCCCCCTGCCACAAGTCCTGAGGCTTGACCTTAGGATGTGGGAGCTGACTCTAAGCTTTTTTGCTCAAGGCCAATCCCTTGAGCTAACTTGAGCTACAGCTCCATTTCCAGCTTTTTTTGGGGGAAAGGGGATGGTTTATTGCAGATAAGAGTCTCCTGGAGGGCTGGGAAGGTGGCTCAGCGGTAGAGTGCTTGCTTTGTATACATGAGGCCCTGGGTTTGATTCCTCAGTACCACATAAGCAGAAAAAGCTGGAAGTGGCGCTGTGGCTCAAGTAGTAGAGCTGAGCCTTGAGCTGAAGAGCTGAGAGACAGTGCCCAGGCTCAGAGTTCAAGCCCTACAACTGACCAAAAAAAAAAAAAAAAAAGTCTCCTGGACTTTATTGCTTGGGCTGCCTTCAAACCATGATCCTTAGCTCTCTGCCTTAACTCTCAGCCTCCTGGGTAGCTAGGATTACGTATATGAACCACTGGTGCCCAGCACAAAGCTGCTTTTGATTGATATTTTCTATACCTTTTTCTGAAGTATACTGATTTTCAAATGATCTACTAATGGTATATGAACTATCACATTCCAATAAGAGTAATTTCTGTAGAAGATGCTCAATGATACCCAAGGACCCAAAACTTGACATTACCTGTGCCTCCAGCCACATCGAGCAGTTGGGTCCCAGGTAGTGGGCGCATCCTCCAGAGCAACAAATCCTTCCAAATGCGATGGATACCAATACTCATCATATCATTCATCACATCATACTTCTTGGCAACACTTTCAAACACCTGATAGACTGACAGAGGATAAATATGATAAATACACAATTGTTACTGGTAGGATTTACATGGAAAAATCCTAAAGAGAAAAGAGAAATCTTTTCCATTATTGGTTTTTGTCCTAGACCAGACTCACACTCAGTATCTGATGCTTTTGTTCATTGGCTTGTACTCTATCTGTTAGGTTTTTAAAAAGAGGTAGCCGAGTAAGAACAGCACCACACACGTGGTATTCAGGTAAGGGGTAGGTTTATTCATCGTTCTGGCTGGCACCAGGCCATGTTGGCCCTCCACGCAGCTGGGAAAGGCCTGGGAAAGAGAGAGAGCTGGTAAAGAGAGAGCTGGGAAAGAGAAGACAGCTAGAAAAAGAGCTAGAAAAGAGAGCGTTTGGGAAAGGTGGGAAAGAGGAGAGAGCTAGGAAAGAGAAGGGAGCTGGGAAAGAGAAGAGAAGGAAAGAGCTGAGAAAGAGCTAGAAAAGAGCAGAGAGAGGGCGTCTGGGACTGGGCTAGGCCTTATCTAGGGTATGGGTGGAGAAAGGTGTGGCCACATCAAATTCAGATGTGACCTCAGCGGATGCAGATGTGACCTCTTCCAGGTGTCCCAGTTGCCTAGGTAATGCAGGTACTGGGTAGAGAGCCTCTAGTCCCTCTTTATCTTTTTTTGTCAGTTGTGGGGCTTGAGCTCAGGGCCTGGGCACTGTCCCTGAGTCTCTTTGTGCTCAAGGCTAGTAGTCTACCGTTTGAACCACAGTGCCACTTCCAGTCTTTGAGTGGTTAACTGGAAATTAAGAGTCTCATGGGGACTTTTTCTGCCTAGGTTGGCTTTGAACTGCAATCCTCAGATCTCAGTTTCCTGAGTAGTTGGAATTACAGGCATGAGTCACTGAAGCCCAGCCCTCATTATCTTTTAATAGTCTTAAAAGTACTTCAAGTAATATTTGTGATTTTTTTTGTCAGTACTGGGGCTTGAACTCAAGGCCTGGGCTCTAGTTCTCAAATGTGATTTAGATCTCAGCTTCTGAGTAGCTAAGATTACAGGTGTGAGCCACCAACATCTAGCTTTTTCACACATTTTGAGACAGGGTCTTACTATGCAGTCCAGGCTGGCCTTGACCTCATGATCCTCCTGTCTCAACCTCCTGAATGCTGGGATTATCATACCTGGCTGACAGAATGGCTTTTTGGTTTTTGCTTTTGGTCATTCTTACTCTAGAGATGAGTGGTTTAAAATCAACGGAAAATGTACTGTTTTCTTAATAAACTTTTCTGTCGCTTTCACCACCTTTCTCGACTTGCCTGAGTTCTGTCACTGAACATCAAGGTCCAAAGTAGATAGATGTGCTGACTCTATGTAACATTTTTTGGTACCATGACTCAGAGATTCAGATCTTTTTTTATGGGCAACTTGGATCCAATCCATGTGTTTCTGTAGGAGGTAAGAACTGTTCTTCCTGCTGTGTCAGGAAGCTTTATTCTGCAACCTCTTTTCTACTATTTGGACTCTCGCTGTTTTCTTTTTGTCAGTCATGGGGCTTGAACTCAGGGCCTGGGCACTGTCCCTGAGCTCTTTCACCCAAGGCTAGCGTTCTACCACTTTGAGCCACAGTGCCACTTCCATCTGGCTGCTTTCTTTACTTTTCCTACCCTCCTCCATTCAAAACAATTTTTTGGGGGGGTGGCAGTCAAGGGGCTTGAACTCAGGGTGTGGGTGCTTTTCCTGAGATTCTTTTTCTCTACCACTTAAGCCACTGCATCACTTCTAGCTTTTTCTAAGTAGTTTATTAGAGATAACAGTCTCATGGACTTTCCTGCCCAGGATGGCTTTGAAACATGATCTTCAGATCTTAGCCTCCTGAGTAACTAGAATTACAGGCATGAGCCACAGCACCTGGCCCCCAAACACATTTTTTGTTTGCTTTTTACCGGTCTTGGGGGCTTGAACTCAGGGCATGGGCACTGTCCTTGAGCCTCTCTGTGCTCAAGGCTAGTGCTCTACCACTTGAGCCATAGCACCACTACCAGCTTTTTCTGTTTATGTGGTGCTGAGGAATCGAACCCAGGGATTTATGCATGCTAGGAAAGCACTCTACTGCTAAGCCACATTCCCACCCCCCCAAAACAAATTTTTTTTTTTGTCAGTAGTGGGGCTTGAACTCTGGGCCTGGGCGCTGTCCCTCAGCTCTTCAGCTCAAGGCGAGCGCTCTACCACTTGAGCTACAGCGCCACTACCCAAAACAAATTTTTGTCATTGTATTTAATATGAATAAATTTAGGACCTTGAACATCCTAAGCCTATATTCTGCTTAGGCTTGGTAAGTTTTAAAGGTCATGGATTAAGATCATTTTGCATGATTTTAACTTGTGTGTTATTTTTACCGTTCTGTCTCACTTTGTAAAGCTAAGTCTTGCCTGTACTTCCATCTTGGTTCCCAAGTTAGATTGAATATTTAACTTATCTCCTCTCCTTGTTACTGTGTAAAATGTTGAGTATACATCGTAAAGAACAATACAGTTATTATTCCTATTATTATGGCTGGCAGTATGTATTGGAGTTTGAACTCCAGCTTTTCCACTTGCTAGGCAGGAGCTAGCGCTTGAGCCCTGCCCCAGTCCTTTCATCACAGTTATTGAATACTGGTAAAAGCACATGCTTTGGGAACAACTCAAATGGATTTAAATCCCAGTTCTGCCACTTAACAGAATTTTGGGTAAGCCACTCCTATCATTGTTTCATGGCTACTTCATCCATAAAATCAGGCTAATCATTTCTACCTTTACAGAACTGTGATTGGTTGCTTTTTAAATCAGAATTGACTTAAAGTGCTTTGTATTTAAAAAAAAAAAATTTAAGCCGAGCGTCAGTGTTTTGTGCCTGTAATCCTAGCTACTCAGGAGGCTGAGATCTGAGGACTGCAATTGGAAGCCAGCATGGACAAGAAAGCTCATGAGACTCTTATTTCCAATTAGCCACCAAAAGGCTGGAAGTGGAGCTGTGGCTCAAGTAGTAGTGAGCTAGCCTTGAGCACAAGAGCTCAGGGACGGCGCCTCCGCCCTGAGTTCAAGACCCAGGACTGGCACACACACACAAAATTTAAACTTGGAAGTCCTTGGAAGTCAGGACAGACACCGGACGTGGAGCTCACAGGTGGGCACACCGGTCCAGGACGGACAGGTCCCTCGGCCCGCCCTCTCACCCCGGTCACCTTTGCCCCCTTTCTCCTCCTCCGACACCGTCTCAAACCCGAAGTGCGTTTCCGTTGCTTGCTTCTCTTGGGACAAGAGCCGCGCACCCAGCAGGCCCCGGGGCCAAAAGCCCGGAAGAGCCGGGAACCCACAACCCCGAGCCGTCCGCGACCACCCACAGCCGCCGGAGAGCCGCAGAACGCAGCTCACGGACGCTGCCATCTTGGCAGTCCCACGGCCCGACGGGAGAGGGGTCGATGACGTCACCGTGAGACGACGCCTGCTGATTGGAGGAGCCACGGCCAGTCCCCGCCTCCTGGTAGTGAGGAGCTGTGTGGGCCAGGCGAGCGGCACCTACCTGTAATTCCAACTACTCAGGAGCCTGAGGTATGGACTTTGGGGTTCGAAGCCAACCCAAGCAGGAAAGTCCTTGAGCCTCTTTTTCTCCAAGCACGAGAGCCGGCAGTGGTGCTGTGGCTCAAAGTCGTAAGAGCGTTAGCCTTGAGTGAAAGACCTCAGTCAGGGACAGCACCTAGGCCCAGAGTTAAAGCCCCACGACAAACAACAATAACTGGGGCTAGGAATGTGGCTTAGTGGTCGAGTGCTTACCTAGCATGCCTGAAGCCTTGGGTTCCATTCCTCAGTACCATATAAACAGAAAAAGCTGGTAGTGGACCTATAGCTCAAGTGGTAGAGTATTAGCCTTGAACAAAAGAAGCTCAGACCCTGAGTTCAAGCTCCATGATCAACAACAAAAACAAAAAGCTGGAGCTTTGGGTCAGATGGTAAGGAGCTAACTGTGAACAAAAAAAATCTCAGGAACAGCATCCTGGCTCTGAGTTTAATTCCCAGTATCCTCTCACATTCTTCCCTCCCCCTCCCCCAATTTTTAAAATTTAAATTAAAGGTGGAAGTAAGTCTCCTTTAAGAATGAGAAGACCTTGGGGATTGAGCTTCTGATCACCTTTCACAGGCCATCCCTTAATATTGCTAACCAATAGTAACTGACATCAGGAGTACCTTAGGGGGAAACTGAGGCATGCTGTTGTTAAAAGGTGACAATCAGGGCTGGGAAAGTGGCTCAGTGGTAGAGCGCTTGCCTTGCATGCCTGAGGCCCTGGGTTCGATTCCTCAGCACCACATAAGCAAAAAGAAAAAAGCCAAGTGGCGCTGTGGCTCAAGTGGTAGAGCTCTAGCCTTGAGCTGAAGAGCTGAGGGACAGCACCCAGGCCCAGAGTTCAGGCCCCACGACCGGAAAAAAAAAAGGTGACAATCACAAGGTCAATTCTTGCAGACTTTGGTGTAGAATCATCTGGTTTGATTTCAATTAATATTAATTGTGTTTGGCTTTATATATTTTTTGAGATTCTATCTTGATATATAGTTTAGAATGGCTTTGAATTCATACTGGAACTCATGGTTCTTCTGGTTCAGACCCCCAGTAGTTTGATCTTTACAATGTAACATCTTGGACCCCATTACCAAAGATTTGAATCAGTAAATGTATTATGTATCTCTTCCACACCAGAGGCTACTACTGACTTCCTCCCTCCCTTCAATCCTTCCTCCCTTCTTTTCTCCTTCCCTTCCTTCCCTTTTCTTGTTCCCACATATGAAGTAAAATGTGATAATTTCTTTGTGTCTTATTTTTAATATGATGATCTCCAGTTCCACCCTTTTTCCTCCAAATGACATTACTTCATTTCCTGTTTCTTTCTTCTTCCTCCTCCTCCCCTTCCCCCTACCTCCTCCTCTTCCTCCTCCTTTTTCATAAGACCTGGATATGTAGCCCACAGAAGCCTAAAACTCAAGATGTGTTGCCTCAAGCTCCCAAGTGCTGGGGTTACAGGTCTTTTCTACCACATCCAACTTTCTCTCTCTCTCTCTCTCTCTCTCTAGGTCTTAGGGCTTCAACTCTGGGCCTGGGCACTGTCCCTGAGCTGAAGGCTAGCTCAAGCCTAGCACTCCTCCACTTGAGCCACAGTGCCATTTCTGGTTTTTCTGGTGGTTAATTAGAGATAAGAATCTTACAGACTGGACTGGGAAGGTGGCTTGGTGGTGGAGTACTTGCCTTGCATGCATGAGGCTCTGGGTTTGATTCCTCAGCACCACATAAGCAGAAAAAGCTGGAAGTGGCACTGTGGCTCAAGTGGTAGAGTGTACACATTGAGCTGAAGAGCTGAGGGACAGTGCCCAGGCCCAGAACCTCATAGACTTTCCTGCCTGGGCTGGCTTTGAACCATGAGCTTAGGCTAAGATCCTCAGATCTCATCCTCCTGAGTAGCTAGGATTACAGACATGGACCACCAGGACCTGGTTCTCTCTCCTCTTTCTCTCTCTCTCTCTCTCTCTCTCTCTCTCTCCCTCTCTTTCTCTCCTTCTCTCTCTTTTAATGGTTAAATAATATCCCATTGCACTATCATAATACTAAAGACCCATACATTTCCTTTAAGATATGGAGGCTACTTAGTCTTTCAATACTCAAAGGCCATTTAGGGTATCTTTCTATCTATCTAGATCATTTTATATTTTCTCTATTCTTTTTTTTATTTTTTGGTCCAGTCGTCGGGCCTGAACTCTGGGCCTGGGCGCTGTCCCTCAGCTCTTCAGCTCAAAGCTAGCACTCTACCATTTGAGCCACAGCGCCACTTCCGGCTTTTTTCTTTTTGCTTATGTGGTGCTGAGGAATCGAACCCAGGGCCTCAGGCATGCAAGGCAAGCACTCTACCACTGAGCCACCTTTCCAGCCCCTTTCTCTATTCTTTTATCTGTCCATACATACATGCATGTGCAGGTAACTGTTTGATGTTTCTTTCATTTCCTTCAGGTATCTACCCAGAAGTAGTATAATTGGATTATATATGTCAGTTTTCTAGAACATTTTCCCCCCAGTATTGATGATTATAATTTTAGGCTCTTGTGCTTAGAGACCATCCTTGAGAAACATATGCTAGACTACTTTGAAAAATAAACAACAACGAAAGATTTCTTTTGGCCTGACTATTTTATGGACCTTTAGGAAGTCATAAATGCAAACTAAAATTCAGGTATCTATTTAGCAAGCCAGAATCAAACATCAGATATTCTTTGTCTTCTGCTCATGCAAAGCTACATTTGTAGCTCACTGGCATGTCATGGGTGTTTTACTTCAGTCCCAGATTTCAGTGTTTTTTAGTGGAAAGGATAATAATGAGACCATCTTATGCAAAAAGAGAGAATGGAAGTTATATTGTTTTGCTTTCCTTTCCTTTCTCTGTTTCTGCTTGAATTCCCTTTTTAAAATTATATTTTCTGTAAATATTTCACAAGGAGAAAGAGCCAAGGATCTTAAGAAACTATTTTGAACTGAAAAGTCTTTTTCTGGTTTTATATAGCCTGACAGATGGACATCTTCTACACTGGGATTTCTCTTTTACTCTCTTTTATTTTTATGAATGACACGGAGAAATGATTCATCCATAAGTTCAGAATTGTTATACCTATTTTACACTAAGATCCTTTGAGAAGGTATCTTAGTAATATGTCAGTACATCTAGTAATATATAAGAATAGACCAGGGCTGGGAATGTGAGTTAGTAGTAGAGTGCTTGTCTGGCATGCATTAAGCCCTGGGTTTAATTCCTCACTACCACATAAAGAGAAAAAGCCAGAAGTGGTGCTGTGGCTCAAGTGGTAGAGTGTTAGCTTTGAACAAAAGAAGCTCAGGGGCAGTGCCTATGATCTGAGTTCAAGCCCCATTACTTGCAAAAAAAAAAATGAATGGATCATAGATAGTGGTTCAAAGCCAACCTGATAAGAACAATTATTATTTGAACTCTTTATTTCCAACTAATCAGTATAAAAAGTTGTAAGTGGAGGTGTGATTAAAGTGGTAGGGTGACAACTTTAATTGAAAAAATCTGAGCAAGAGCATGAACCTCAGTTTAAGCCTTAGCACAGCACCAAAATAAATACATACATACATTAAATAAATAAAATGGACCTTAAGATTTAGGTTATTGTTGTTTCTTCTGGATATCAAATTAAACAAACTAGCTGAATAGCTATTTTACTAGATTTTTGATATGATTTGTGTGTGTGTGTGTGTGTGTGTGTGTGTGTGTAAAACAAGAGAAGCAATACTGGAACTGGTGAAGGGCATTTGAAGGAAAATTAGAAATACGATATTCTGATAAATGATCTTCATTTATCCCCACTTAAATTGTTACTGCACAGAAAGCAGTTTATGTATACGTATTAATGTCTCCTATGCCATGAACCAAGAAGGGGAGGGCCCCCATTAGAGATCCAGTCATTCTTTTTTTTTTTTTGGCTAGTCCTGAGGCTTGAACTCTGGGTCTGGGAGCTGTCCCAGAACTCTTCAGCTCAAGGTGAGCGCTCTACCAGTTGAGCCACAGCGCCACTTCTGGTTTTCTGGTGGTTAATTGGAGATAAGAGTCCCACAGACTTTCCTGCCCGGGCTGGCTTTGAACCGCGATCCTCAGATCTCAGCCTCCTGAGTAGCTAGGATGACAGGCGTGAGCCACTGTGGTGCGGCTTGTTGTCAAATTCTACTCGTGCTCCGGGGATTATGACTGCTAGTTTAAAGGGAGAGACCCTGGATTTGATCTTCAGCGTAAAAAGCAGGAAAAGGAAAAAAAAAAAAAGGAACAAAAAGCAAAGCAAAGTGATGGTAAATGAACGCATGAGGGAATAAAAGACAGAAAGCTGTTAATACTAGAATAAGAGCCACAGACCAAAAAAAAACCCGATGAATATGTTCCACAAATATTCCAAGGTTCGGCTGCTTTATTATCAGTATGTGTTACTACTGCGTCTTAGCGTGCTTACAAGACCAAACTAAACCAAACCAAACAGCCCAACCCTGCTCTTGCCAGGAACTATAAGTCCCATAATCCTACGCGCCCCACCAGTGGAGAGGACCCGGATAAACAAGAAAACTACGTTTCCCAGAATGCACCAGGTAGCTTCTCCACTCTATAAATAGTCCATCCGGGTTCTTTGAGATGCTGTTTGGCGACTCGTCGCCATTCCCGGAGCAGCTCGGCCTCGGCCCAGAGGCGAGTGTCGGTCGCTGTGTCGGAGACACTCGTCCCCGACATCGAGACAACCACCCCTCTCTCCTGCCCCGCGGCGGGAGAGCGTGTCCGGCCGGCCGGCGGGGCTCGCGCACCTTCCCTCGCCTCCCCTTCCCCCGTAGCCTCCGCCCCGCCAGGCCCGGCCCGGACCTCCGAGCCCCGGCCTCCTCCTCCGTCTCGGTCACCTCCGCCGCCGCCGGGCTCCGCAGCCCCGCCTTTCGCTTCTCTTCCCATTTTGAGAAGCCAAGGAAGGAAACAGGGAAAAATGTCGCCATGAAGGCCGAGAACCGCTGCCGCCGCCGACCCCCGCCGGCCCTGAACGCCATGAGCCTGGGTCCCCGCCGCGCCCGCTCCGCTCCGACCGCCGCCGCCGCCGAGGCCCCCGTTGATGCCGCAGAGCTCCCCCAACGCCGCCGCCACCGCTTCCGACATGGACAAGAACAGCGGCTCCAACAGCTCCTCCGCCTCTTCGGGCAGCAGCAAAGGGCAACAGCCGCCCCGCTCCGCCTCGGCTGGGCCGGCTGGCGAGTCTAAACCCAAGAGCGGTAAGAGCCAGCCCGAGGGCTGTGGGTCACTCGGGGACAAGCCAAGCTTTCTACGATGGTTCCCCACTTCCTCCCCCCTTCCCTGGCGCCTGTTATTTACAGTGAATCAGCACCGGTCGTGCTACTTGGTTTGCTCCGGTCCGTGCATCTTTACTCACAATAGCTGGTGAAATTGGAGCGGTTCTCTCCCTTTACAGATGAGGAAACTGAGGTTCTCCAGGTAGTACGCCTACAGTCAGGCCTTCAGACCCTGCTTTGCCTGGTCTCTTCGGGTCGGTCCCCTCTAAAATACGTCTTGGAGTTCGTATTGGGTGGTGAACAGGACCCAAGTTTAAACTAGAGAGGGTGAGGCCCCAAGGGCTCTTCAGACTAACTTTTTTTCATTTACTCTGGCCTCAGATCTGTGCCTCTTTGAGTGACTTCGTTCTGTTTGTTGTAGTAGATAAGGATTCAGTCTTTTGGGTGCAAACCTTGAGTGGCTGAATTTCTTTAATCTTTACAGGTGGGAGCTCATAGAATACTAAATGAATTAAGAGCTCACAAGAGTTCTAGGTAGCTATTAGGTACCAAGAAGGAACCTTGTGTATGTGTGTACTACTAGGCTGCAGTAATTGCCCTTTAACTGGCAAGATTTTTGTCAAATCTGTAGTCATGCTTCTCAGTCTTTTGTCCCGGGGATAATTTTAACAGCTGCTATTTACTGAGGGCTTATCCTGGCTTTTATCTGCTATCTGTACCCCAGTCATTAACCTGTTTAGCAAGGTAAGAGTTGTGCCTTTTAAAGTAAGGAACAAGTTGAGAGGGAAGATGTTAGAAATTGGCAGAATCTAGAATTCACCATTCTCTATCTTATATCAAAGCTTGTGTACTAATCTCTGCTCTCTTTTGTATTTTCTTTATATTTACAGTAATTAGAAGATACTGCCTGTGAGCTTGAGGATGTGTGCAGATAGGAAACTATTTGGAGTCCTTAAACCTAGAGGTTTAGTTGTTTAAAACATTTTGAGATCAAACATCTGTAAGGCTAATTTTAAAACAAAGTAACCTTTTTAGGGCTGGGAATGTGGCTTAGTGGTAGAATGCTTGCCTAGCATGCATGAAGCCCTGGGTTTGATTCAGCAGTACCACATAAACAGAAAAAGCTGGAAGAGGGCTGTGGCTCAAGTGGTAGAATGCTAGCTTTGAGTACAGAGAGGCTCGGGGACAGTGTCCAGGCCCTGAGTTCAAGCCCCAGTATTGGCAAAAAAAAAAAAGTAACTTTTTTTTATTATTGTTATCATAAAAGTGATATATAGAGGAGTTACAGTTTCATAACTCAAGTAATGAGTACAATTCTTTTCCTTTGACAATATCATCCCTTCCTCTGTTCTCAGTTTTTTTCTTCCAGTTCCCACCCATGAGTTGTGTAGTGTGTAGTGGGTGTCACTGCTGCATTTATTTTTTTGGTGGCAGTACTAGGGCTTGACCTCAGGGCCTCACTTTTTCACTTTTCCCTTTCCCCCCAAGGCCAGTGATCTGCCATTTTGGGCTATACTTTTAGTTTATTGGTGGTTAATTGGAAGTAAGAGTCTCTCACATTTTCTACCCTGGTTGGCTTTGAGCCTGGATTTTTCAGATCCCTGCTTCCCAATAGAGTAGCTAGGATTTTAAGCATGATCCACAAGTGCCCAGCGTCAATTGAATTATTATTGTTGTTGTTGTTGTCAGTCTTGAGGCTTGACCTCAGGGCCTAGGCACTGTCACTGAGCATTAGCTCAAGACTAGGGCTCTAGCACTTTGAGCCACAGCTCCACTTCAGGTTTTTGAGTGGTTAATTGGAGGTCAGAGTCTCATGGACTTTTTTTGCCCAAGCTGTTTTGAATCATAATTCTTAGGTCTCATCCTCCTGAAAGCTAGGATTACAGGCATGAGCCACCAGCACCTGGTTTTCAACTGAATTTTTTTTTTTGGGTCTGGTCGTGGGGCCTGAACTCTGGGCCTGGGCACTGTCCCTCAGCTCTTCAGCTCAAGGCTAGCGCTCTACCATTAGAGCCACAGCGCCACTTCCAGCTTTTTTCTTTTTGCTTATGTGGTGCTGAGGAATCGAACTCAGGGCCTCATGCATGCAAGGCAAGCGCTCTACCA